CCATAGTAACAGTTTCTGTGGCGTTCACTAATTCCAAGAACCATTGATTGAACGTAAGTTATGTATTATTCTTATACAATTACGATGTCGAACAAAAACATAAGCACCCAGATTTCTAAGCACACTTTAAAAATACGTACTTAAAAAATATGTTAACAAAACAAGTTTTAAGTTTTAAGACACGGTGATCGTATCGCGCGATTCTATTTTAAGCGATGATCGAACTCTGCATTTTTTATCACTTCCACCCATACGCGGAGCCGTACAGACCACTAGGAGCGGTCGCATGAGTTTTTTTGACACATTTTTTACAAGCACCATTATTTTTTTGCCGTAATTTTTGGCGAAAATGTAAACACGCTTTGTTTTTAAATTTTGTGTTGATGGAAAAGTAAAATAGTCAGTAGTAAAAGATCTATCTATAAACAGTACCTACTGACTCTGTTTTAGTTATTACGGCTAAAGATAGAAATCTTTACGTTTTGATATGACATTATTATTTTTGCATTTGAAAATGAAATAATTTGTGTATGAAGTGCTTGTAGGTAGGTAATAAATACGAGCAAACATTAAATCAGCAAAATAATTCATATCAAATTTTCAAATCTTTCGTGACTATCAACGCCATCTATGTATTGAACAAGGAAACAATAGTTTCACTGATCTAACATAGATTAGCGCCATCTTCCGAAACAGTTAGGAACGATTTACTTACAATATTGCTTTAACGAACGTCCAGGACTATTTTCATTGGGTTATCAGAATCTAAATGATTACACACACAGAGCACTTATAAATACCTAATGTTCGGCTCTCTATACGTGTCAGCTATTTTGATCGACTATTGGCAATATTAAGATGAAACCAATTTACGAAAGAACCCAAATGTGGAAGTACTTATTACGTGGAAATTATCATAAGAAACTAAGTTTGTTATATAATATGAGTGATCGAGCTCATGGTACATGTTATGTAGTTACTAGAGCTGAAACACATCATTATATTGATATATTTACGAGTTTATGCGACTCTTAACGTACCTATGTAAACTTTATAATGTGTAGGAAAAAATATAATTAATTAGGTATCTATCACTTTTTTATTGCAGAGTTCGTGTTTTTATTACTAAGGTTGCTTTGTTTGAATTCTTTTATTCGTGATTTAGTTCATTTCCTGTATTTGTTCTAATAAGTGAATGGTTTTCGTCGTTACATGTGAATACGGAACCCAGAGTGTGAAACTACATGCTTAAAGTGGGCCAGGGTCAGATATTGCAGGCTATAACGAAGGGCTATCAGAAATGTGTGAGAAAGTTATCAGGGAACCGGCAGTTGACTTGAAAGCCTGGATCAGGTTGACCACGAGTCAAAACTGTTCAGGAAGACACCGTTACCAGGTTAACTGTACGCCGAAACCGAATGATGTAACCTGGTTTGGCCTTGTTTTGCCCCTGGCATTGCCATGGGCGACGGTGACCACTCACCATCAGGTACCTCAACCTGTATAACTCACGTTACGGCAAGCCTTTTCAGAATTTTTTTTATTTATTAAAACAACGAATACAATTTGTATAGGTTACCATAATTCAGATATTTTACGTTTACATACTTTCTCAATGGTACAATTTTCAACAAACGGGGTTATGTCGTAAAACGTATTTAATCATTTTAGGTGAAAATTACTGTAATGATTCGAGAGTACAGAAAAGAACGAATGATTAGGTTGATTTAGAATTTAAATAGTATTGGTCATCTCAACAACGTAACTTTTCACAAAAAATATTTCAGCGATGATACAATTTTAAAATTTTGTACTGTCAGAGCCACCTGGGTGTAAATTTCAAAACTAAGTGTTTCGCTCTGTGAAGCGACATCTAGCGTTCCTTCGTTTAAGTTTAAAATATAATTCTAAGAACACTGTAGTTAGTTTTAGCTGTACATTATAGATGGCGCTGCGGTACATTGCAGATTGAGATACTTTAAAATATCTTTACGCGGCGTCGCGGTGTCGATGTTTTTTTAACTAGGTATTAGAAAATAAAAAGGTTGGGTATGATAAAAAAACTTAATATTTATATAATGTACAATCGATGATAACCATGTTTGACACACTTGGCTAAAAATATATAATAATAAAAAGAGCCGCCCGAACAGGGACTTGAACCCTGGACCCTTGGATTAAAAGTCCAATGCTCTACCGACTGAGCTATCCGGGCTCATATCGGTAGGATCAAAATACCTGAACACTATCTGTATGAACTTTTCGTTGCTCACTTCAATTTTAATTAATAATTAGGTATAGTTCGGAGATTAATCTTTTTAATAAATATCTACCAGTATTACATCATTTGATTTGCCATATTATATTAAAAAGTGAAATTTAATTTCCATTACAATCGAAATAATCCTACTTTGATATATGTTTCCCATTAATAAATAAATTGTAATTTTATTTTATACAAGAAAGTGATCATTAAAGGTATAAAACCAGTAGACTACAACCAACCAGTCCGTTTGGGTGAATTTAGTCACAAGTTATGTTACAGTCACTCGACGCTAGATGGCGGTGCTAGTGTCAGTTTTATAATAGACATGTTTAGTGAGATTTTTATAACAAACGTGCTCTAATACGCAGTAGTCCAATTTTAATTTGTGTCAAGTTTAATGACGTATGAGTGATCTTGATAAGGTTAATAAAGACTTGAAATTTATTTTTAAAGTATCGGGTTTAGAGTAAACAATAAACATGTAAGGTGACTGTAGTGTAAAGACAATCGTTAGAAAAATAAATAAAAATTAATGCGAGCCTTGCCAACAAACCATGTATGTAGAACTTCAAACCCTGAGGACGGTCTGCTGTCGTGGGCTTCTCTTGGCGGGGCACAGGACAATACACAAGTCAAAGGCCTAGAGTTATTTCATAACGCCATTCATTTTTTTTTTTCACAAAGGCCAATGAACTTCGGGCGCACCTTGCGCGAACGCTGTCAAATTGCATTGTCGGCACAAAACTACACAATGTAATGTACTGAATGACGTTATGATACATTCACACATACACACACAAACACACATGTACAATTTAAACATAATAACAGTCCTTCGAATAACGAAATCAAGTTCCGTTGCTCGTTAAATATATACTATACCTACATACTTGTTGCGCTAATTTTACACAAAGCCTTTTAGCACAAGTCGATTCCGTGAATCATATCGTTTCCTAAAAAAAAACCATTAAATCTTAAAGTTACGTGTCAATCGGAATTCGTTAAAACATTGCATTATTTTTTGTAAATTTTATATAAGGATTCATTTCTCGCTACTAGTAAGGTCTTTTTACCTGATCCAAATCAATAATGAGCTTTATCGTGCAAAGGGATCGCTGTTTTTATTCTATCACAATAGAACGAACGGAATGCACCCGGCACATTGTGATTAATGTTCATTCATTCATTCATAGATTCTTAGATCTATGGAGCAACGAACCAGTGATAAATATAATTTAAAGGTGACAACTACAGGGAATTATGATTAGTTTTATTCCTTTCAATTTCAAAACCGTTCAAATTATGAAGAATGCGCTAAACACGCACCGAATCGAGAATCTTCTTATTTTTCATAAGAAATCGCTTAGAACAAGAATGCAAATAATAACATAAAGCTATCTATCTGTTCTTGAACGTGTTCACCGAAGCCAACATCGTGAATTAGTCGACAAAACGAATTAAAATATTTGAACATCTAATTTTAGGAAGGATTGAATTAATCGAGAAACCTAATCAACGTTTTTTTTTTAAAAGAAGAACGCGAATGTCAATAGACAATAACGTTTCATATTTAAGGCAAAGTTGAGTCAGAGCCATTGACAAACGAAATAGGTCGATTATAAAAAAAAAGTATGATATTCAACGTGACACACTAATGGACAATCAGACAGGAAGGAGAGACCTTACTAGAAACGATGAGTATTGTTTTGTTATAATATCCGATCGACTTCCAACTTCATTTTGGTGACGTATTGAAAGCATTGACATTCAAAACGAATGCTTTCTACATATTGATTAGGCTCAGGGCAAAAATATCAACCATCGGATAAGTTTTTCATCAAGTAACTGATGAACCTGACTGAATGGATACTGTAAAGTTCTATAATGTTTATACTGCTTGTATTTTATATCATAGGTAATCTTTGAGACGGTTTGTTTTATACAGAAAAATTTGTATAGTTATTATTGGATCTAAAAATAGAACTTGTTCACGTGTTCTAAATAATAAATAATTAATTTTAAATACTATTCGAATTCAAATTACTTATTTAGCTTAGTTTTAACTTAACTTGCTAGTAAAATGCTACGTACTTCCAGTTTCGATATTCACATTTTTATTTTATTTTTTTTATCGCTTAGATGGTTGGACGAGCTCACAGCCCACCTGGTGTTAAGTGGTTACTGGAGCACATAGACATCTACGACGTAAATGCGCCACTCACCTTGAGATATAAGTTCTAAGGTCTCAGTATAGTTACTCACATGTTAATAACTACAGTTTTTATTTTGAGTTTTTACGATTACATTACTTCTTGAAATTCAAATGGACGTTTCTTATTTTTATATAATATCCATCTTAACACAATCTCTTTAATTTTAAAATCAATGTTTTGATTGTGTTAAAACAGTCGAGGAATGCAGATAAATTTAAAGCACGCGATTAAATGGTAAAGGGGAATTATACATATCAATTATTATGTAGTGCGACTTAATTACTGCTTTAATTAATTACTACTTTACGTAGGTAGCTATATACACGAATTCATGTTCATAATGGACGTATTTATTGTTTTTATCACATGACAAAAAATTATATTTTTTTCTTGTATTATTTCATTGGTATTCCAAAGCTACTGAAATATGATAGATTTAGATCCGATCGTTTTGCAAACTGTTTTATCATTTCAATAAGTCACCAAATATGTTGTTACTTTTATCGTAATGAATGACTCACGGTGTCGGTGTGCGTCGCAGACAATCATAGTACCTGTAACAAAAAAGAAAGAAATAACATTACTACAAACTCATCGGAAATATATGTAATTAAAAGTACTTTTAAGCCTTAATCTCAGTTTTTACGAATAAAAGTAGTTTTAATTATGTCGACGACTCGCGAAATTCGAAGAAAACATTTTTCTAAAATAATATTATTTAACGTTCTTACATTCTAGATGTTTCGGTACTCTAAGAGAGTTTGTTCACTTCGCTGAATCAAAAAGAATAGCAGTTGGATGAGAGCTTATCAATGAATGATGCGAAAAGACTCTGGTGGTAGGACCTCATGTGAGTCCGCACGGGTAGGTACCACCATCCCGCCTATTTCTGCCGTGAAGCAGTAATGCGTTTCGGCTTGAAGGGTGAGGCAGCCGTTGTAACTATACTGAGACCTTAGAGCTTATATCTCAAGGTGGATGGCGCATTTGTATTGTAAATTTCTATGGGCTCCAATAACCACTTAACAGTCTTAACACTAGGTGGGCTGTGAGCTCGTCCGCCAATCCAAGCAATAAAAAGAGGGCAATATTGCTGAAATCCTTATACATTACTGAATTAATATAAATTAGTTAGATGATAATAAATATTTAGATTATTAAGTTGAAATAGATGACAACGACCAACAGATGATGTCTTCGATACACTTCATAACTAAAATCAAGAAGCTAGTTTGAAACGATTCCGAAATAAAACGGATAAATGATTACATTTATTTACAGTTTGAAGTCCATCAGTGTACTGTACTGGAAAAACTTCACAAGTGATTGCTTGAACAAGCAAACGTGCCACTTATCGAAAAACTACGTATAATAACCCCTATCGAAAACTGGAACGATAACGGTTACATAAAACTTAATTGTGTTATGTAAATNGCTAGTTTCCGAAACGATTCCGAAATAAAACGGATAAATGATTACATTTATTTACAGTTTGAAGTCCATCAGTGTACTGTACTGGAAAAACTTCACAAGTGATTGCTTGAACAAGCAAACGTGCCACTTATCGAAAAACTACGTATAATAACCCCTATCGAAAACTGGAACGATAACGGTTACATAAAACTTAATTGTGTTATGTAAATTAATTAACGAAAAGGAAACATACTGTCGTAATTTCACATTATCAGTGAGGGCAAGATTATAATGAATAACTAACTATTGTATAATATGATGTATCGAATAGGTAGGTGGGTACGCTTATGCATCAAGATAATATTATTTCAGACGTCGTGAGGCTAGAAGATCAGAATCGTCAAATTTATGAACATCTAGCTTACATCAAAATTTGAACTATAGTAGGTACATTCAACGTTCGTTCTTATACCCTTTTACACCTTTAATAAAGTACTTTCCGAGTTATGTTCTACGTGCATGAATTATCTTATAAAATTATGGCCTTGTTTACTACAAACGCTTTAAGGATAATTACGACAATTGAGTCGTCTATTATCAAAGGCGGCAATCTGTACATTTGGACAAAAATTTTTTATTGATATGTCAATACAGATTGATTTGAATATAATCGTCTCCTTCAAAGAATACGGTTCAAAACCTGCATTAAATAAAGGTTAATAGTTAACCTGTTATTTATCTAAGATGTCGTTCCGAAGAGTTTTGTGACTGCCAATGGAATACAAAGTCAATAATTCGTTTTTCTGATTTACCAATCATTGTCCAAAAGTCAGATTGCCGCCTTTGATAATAGTCGACTCAATTATTGTTTCATTGCTTTCATAATTTTGTTCCAATGAAATTAGATTTACTTCATTACGTTACATAAAAGTATTTTTTCTTTGAAAACATTGGATTGCACTTTTTTCCGACCTATTCGCTAGTAGTCTAAGAGGCTATTCCAGTTACGTCCGGACGGGTAGGTGAGCTCACTCACGGGCTCAACCTGAGAGAATTTGCTAACACTAGCCCTAGCAAGAGCAGTGCTTCGCAGAATTTACCACCGGATCGGAATCGCGACCCGCTAAGAAGATCCGGGGAGAAACTCAGTGGGCTGTGTCTACGGGTTTGTTCGTTCGTCGAACTCTGTCATAATCGACGAGTTCGACGAGGACGTTGACCAGTGCTTGTGAGCTCTAAAAGCACCTGCATTTATTACATTTTGCTTAAACTCAAAACTCATTTTAACGGCATCAGCGTACTGAACAGAAAACCGAAATTTTCCTTAGCAATTCCTATTTTTACTTTTCCTTCCTGATACAATCATTTGTTGTTCTAAGCACTGAATGCAAAAGCTATAATTGACTTGACAAACACCCCGATTCTTTTTTCAAACATTAGACACATGTCCTTCTAAATTGAACTCAAACACCACATTAAAAATCGAAAGTGTCACAATTCATATTATAATCAGTACTACAAATAGCTCTCATGAATGGATACATCATTTTATAGTAATGTGAATGAACCGGATCGCAGCGATATCGGAACACCGATACCCGCGGTCGGCAATTTGTTATTATTAAACGTAGTAAAATAATGTAATTAGCTACACCCAACCGACCCAGACGCTCTCCACACAAAACTAAAAGAGTGACAAAAGGCGAAAAAAAAACATTTTAACTTTCATTGGGTGTTTAAAAAAATAATTATTATTGGCCAATGTCAAGAAATTTGATTTTTATTTGACGCCTACCAACGAGCATGGTCATTGTCAATGCTAATATTAAAACTACAAGTCTAAAATGTATGAATGTGATTCTGATAGTTTCAACATACATAAAAAGGATAACACAATTAAAACAAATTTTCAAACCCATCAAGTTCCTCCGAAGTGACACTAATATTAATTTGTGTCCATAAATGTACACGATCATCATTATTATTCTGATATGGAAATCTTAAGATCTTTCTCGAACGAATTAAAGTAACATAATAATATTTCTTTTATCGACATTCAAATAATAAGAGTATTTTACATGCGGAACCAGTTTGGTTAACCGAAATGATTCACAGATATTGCATAACTGTCATGGTCACTAAAGAAACTCAGCAATCTCATAATATGACAAAAGGAAATAATTTTGATGCTGAAAAATAGAAAATATACCGCTGATAGCTGGCTATAAGTGAACAGATCGTCTATTATTCGTTTGCCGTATCAACTGAAGTTAACTTCTTCTTCTGAATGACTTCCAACTTAGGAAACCATAGCATTACAATTTTATTAGCTTTATCTATATTATCTATATATATAAAACTGAATTGCTGTTCGTTAGTCTCGCTAAAACTCGAGAACGGCTGGACCGATTTGGCTAATTTTGGTCTTGAATTATTTGTGGAAGTTCAGAGAAGGTTTAAAAGGTAGATAAATATGAAAATGCTCGGAATTAAATAAAAATAACAATTTTATTTTTCCTTTGATGTGTCCCCGTCGGACGATTTTCTTTTGTTTGTTTTAAGTTTATTTTATACAAAAAAAAGTTTAGGTCTTATAATTATCGATTGAGGCACTACGAAGTCTGCCTGGTCAGCTAGTATCTTATAAATAACATTAATGAAGGGCCATTATAGTATAGTGAAATAATATGCAGACGGTATTGATCTTAAGGGAGTTTGGCTCGTCATAACAAGTATGTGTAGACAATTAATCAATTTGCTTTTAGCGACTTTAACATTTATCTAGGATGGAATTTCGCACACTTGTAAATAGCTTATCTTTCGGGGGCGTAGCAAGGTATTCGATATTTAAGTAGTTTGACAATGCCGTAAATTCAAAATCATTGATAAAAAAGCGGTATTTATACTTTCGGCATCGCAAAACCATAACATGTATTTTTATGTGGAAACACATATTTATTGAATACGTTGCTGTTTTAAAATAAAATAAACAGTTAAAGATGGGCAGCTCCTTTAACTTATACCCTACGAAGTACCTTAAATGGACAGTCCATAGACATCACAACTTACGCCCCGCCATCCAGTATGAGGTCGAAGTAACTTCTGAATATTTTGCGGTCTGTTTTCATGGATTTATCTGTGTTAGAATTTTCGCAACATTGGCTGATAATATATAACGCTACAGTTCATGTAAAATATAAATTCTTAGCCGAAATTGTCACGGTAACTAAAATATACATACTACTTAATATACCTAATATATAAACTTCACAAATATCACAAAGGCTTACTAAAGCATTTGATTCATTCCGCCTCGCCCCCATAGGGATGCATTGCTCTAAAACAGATACATACCGCTGTTCTAAATATTCTTTGAAATATATTTGTTTTTGGTTTGAAAATTTGCAATTTCTTTATTGACGACACTAAAACTAGTCAATAGTTACAAAAAAATAAATAGAAGATAATAGTTTGACAAAGAGTAGGAAAATGTACTAAGCAATTTGTTCTTTGCTTATTTATATACAACTAATGGATCGCTAGTTGATTTCTTGAAGCTTGATTGTACTATAAAAAACATTCCCAGGAGTGTGCCAACAACAACTGTACCGAGTTTCATCAAAATCGGATGAATGGTTCAGGACCGCATACAGGATAAACATTGATTATTTATGGCGGTATAAGTAGTTTACGAATGGTATGTTAACAAGATTTTACCTTTTAAACTTGCATAACAAGTAGATGTTTGTTTGCGATCACAGTTGATGCAACGCAGTCGCGAACCAGTCTTATTTAATAGTGTATTTTTTATTTGTTTAAATATGGACGAGTTTTTGGTTCATGAAGTGATTAGCCGAGTCTATTGACATTAAACTTGATTGATACCGTTCAGCTTGAGACATGAACTCGATGTCTCAATAGGGACGTAGACTTTATAAAATGTCATTCATTAAATATTTAGTTCCTTTTTTTTATTGTTTAGATGGGTGGACGAGCTCACAGCCCACCTGATGTTAAGTGGTTACTGGAGCCCATAGACATCTACGACGTAAATGCGGCACCCACCTTGAGATATAAGTTCTAAGGTCTCAAGTATAGTTACAACGGCTGCCCCACCCTTCAAAACGAAACGCATTACTGC